GACAGAGGAGCCTGGTGGGCTGCACTCCATGGGGTTGCAGAGTCAAACACTACTGAAAGACTGCGCGTGCACACACACACACACACACACACACACACACACACAGCCTCTTGCCCTTGGCAGGAAATGGGCTAATATGAGAACAGGGATTCTTTTCTAGAATAAAGAGGGAAGGTTGTCTCTATAAGGTAAGCTTTATTCGAATTGAAAATCCAAAAACTTTCTCCCAGATAGAAAGAGTCCAGGATGTCAGAAGGTGTAACACCCCAGGGAAATGCTCTTGAATTAATATTCCAAAATGGTGCCATCTTTCTTCAAGTTTCATGACTGATACTAAATGAAGCTGTGAAGTGCAACCGTGCTAATTGGCAAGAGGCACATGATAGACAATAACGGGGTGAAAGTTCATTTTCTTACTGTAATTAATTACGGAAGAGGATTTTTAAAATAAAGGAACACACACCCCCGTACACCATATGGGTCCCAAAGACCTAGATTGACAGGCTCTGTTCTCTCACAGTATGACTCCACAACTCCATCTTCCATAAACCTAAGTGAAACGAACTCTTTTTGTATACAAAAGTCCTAAAACATGGTGGCTCAAGTCCAGTGTGGTGTTTCAATGCCATGGAATGCCTTTGGGGCCATGTATAACATATAACAGAAATCCTTCAACTGAAACAAATATCACTGAGTCAGAATTCTTTAGGGGGTGCCGTCCCTCTGGTTCGGTCACTATGAATCTTCCCTGTCCTAATATCTGATAAAGATTACCAGGAGGGCAACGCCCCACCCCACCTCCATCAGGGTCTCATGCAGGGGCAAGAGACGCAGGAGTCGGGAATGGGGAGCAGACAATCCCCAGCAAAATGCTCAGTGACTGCCAAAGAGCAAGGCAAAGCTGAACTTGAGACAAAGCTGAGATGAGGCCCCTGTGGGGCATCCTGTCACTTCTTGTCTCAGCTTGGGTTCCCCAAAAGACAGAGCCTGGGGTGTGGGTAGCTGACTTATAAGAGAATCTCAGGGAGCAGCAGTCAGGGCCCAGAGATGGTGAGGGAAGGAGGAAAATCCCACCCGTGGGCATATTATTGAGGTCACTGCCATGTGCATCTGGGGTTTGGTTCTACCCGGGACCTACTCAAGAGTGTATGAGACACCTCCTAGAATGACCCACCCAAGGCCAACCAGGAAGCACATATCTATGGGCTCCTAAACCCTTGGTTGGGTGTTGCCCCACATCTGCACTGAGCATGTGTGTTTGATGAGTCAGTTCCCACTGATGTCAGGGGTGTCAGAAAAACACTAGGGGTAGGAATGAAGGGCCACTGTGGGCACTTGGGGTGAGCTACTGGAAACCCGCTCAGGAAGTTTTCATTATCCCTGTGGTTAAAAATGAAGAGGGAACAAGAGTGTGTGAATTGGGGCCCTAAAGGTGTGTGATACACTCTCCAGATATGAAGAGTGGGGGCCCCCCAGAAGGGAGATGAGGTCCATTGGCTTGCAGACTGCTGCCTTCTCTCTCTGTCTTCACATGGTCTTTCCTTTGTGTAGACAAGACAAGGCAAGACAGTCCACAGGGTTGCAAAAGTCTCGGACACAACTTAGTGACTAAATAACAACAAATTTCCAAAGAACTTGTTCTATCCTCCTTACTATTTCCTGCTGGGCTGAGTTTTAGACAAAGTGTTTCCTACAATTAGGTCACTGGAGCTGTGCCTTATTTCCTTTACTTTTAACCTTTTATAAACTATGACATTTACAAACCTCCCCATGACCGATCTGTGAAACCCACCATCTCTCACTGCCGTTGACTGAACGTCGCTGCTTAGAGATGCTCTACCGATACCACCTGGACAATTTCAATGACTGTGTCTCTCCTGCTCATTACAAGGATGCTAATCTTCAGATCTCTCTCTGTGACTGCATGCATGAAAGGACTCCAGGCTCTCCATGCTGCAGTGGAGGTGAAATTCAGCACGGTATTTGCTGACATTACTGTGGTCTGCTCACAAGGAATTATCTGATGATGCGGTGTTAAAGAATTAGGTCAAATAATCTGGATAAACCTTCAGGATTAAAGGATCTGTGGTTGTCTCGCTGACCAATATTTTGAAAATCTAGTTATAGTCAGATGCAGACAGTATAGTCATTGTTCATTCATTTCGCAGACTGAAACGTATGCTTACTGAGTGTTTGGGAACTCTTCTAAGCACCACAGAGATAGCTCTGGCATTCCAGGGACTTGCAGCAGAATGAGGTGGGAGGCAGAGCACACTGATGATAACACTCAGATGGGATCAGTGGCGAGGGGACCTGAGAAGGGGGTGACAAGCTCTATTCACAGTCAGGATGGATTTCACAAAAAGGTGACATTTGAGCTCATCTTGAAGGATGGGAATGAGTTTGTTGGACACAGCATGGTGTGGGAACAAGAGGGCCTTCCCAATAGAGAAACTAGCATGTGCAAAAGAGCCGAGTATGGGGCTTCCCTAGAGGCTCAGTGGTACAAAGAATCTGCCTGACTATGCAAGAGACTGGGGTTCAATCCCCAGGTCAAGAAGATCCCCTGGAGAAGGAAATGGCAACCTACTCTGGTATTCTTGCCTGGGAAAGATCATGGACAGAGAGGCCTGGCAGGTTACAGTCCATGGGATCGCAAAAGACTTGGGCAGGATTTAGAGACTAAATAACAACAATGGTCTGTTTAGAGAAGACTTGTCTACCCGACACAGAGTAAGCATGGCCGAAGATGTACTGGAGAGGCCCCAGGGGTCAGATTCTGCTTGGCTTGAATATCAGGCTAAACAGTTGGTCTTGACATTGTAGGCCAGTAGTTTCAAGCCATATTTCATGAAGTCAAAGAACCTTTAGCAAGTGAGCAAGGTCTGGCAGGAAGGACAGCCAGCAGAGTATTGAGTTCTTCACCTTGCTTCAGTCAAAGCACTTTGGTTCACATAAGAACCCACCTGCCAATGCAGGAGACATAAGAGACGCGACTTGAATCCCTGGGTCAGGGAGATCCCCTGGAGGCGGGCATGACAATCCACTCCAGTATTCTTGCCTGGGAAATCCCATGCACAGAGGAGCCTGGCGGGTTACAGTCAATGGGGTTGCAAAAAGTTGGACACAGCTGAAGCAACTTAGCACACAGAACACACGGGTTTAGTGGATGTAGTTGTAAGGATGGGAAAGAAAACACAGAATCAGAAAGCATCTCCAAAGTAGATGCAGTAGTCAGGTTCTCCTCAGAAACAGAACCAACAGCCTACACACGAAAAGAGGTTGATGATAAGGAATTGAAGGCACTGGCCTACACAATTATGGAGGCTGAGAAGCCCCAAGATCCATAGCGAGTCAGCTGGACACACAAGCAGACTTGACCCAGGCTGAGATCAGAGGCCTGAGAATCAGGAAAGGTGATGGTGCAGGTTCCAGATCGAAAGCTGGTCGACTCCAGATCCCAGAGAAGCCGGGGTTTCAATTCAAGCCCAAAGGCAGAAAAAGGCCAATATCTCAGCTTTGCTGTCAGGCTGCAGACAGCCTCTCTTGCTGGCAGTAGAGTCGAGTTGGCCTTTCTGTTCAAAACCCAGGCCTTCAACAGATTGTTTGAAGCCTCTCCACATGGGGGAGGGCCATCTGCTTTCCTCAGGCCACCAATTCAAATGCTAATCTCATCCAAAAACACCCTCACAGACACACCCAGAATAATGTTTGACCAAATATTGGAANATCTTCCCAACCCAGGGATCAAACCCGCATCTCTTACATCTCCTGCATTAGCAGTTTTGTTCTTTACCACTGGGGCTTCCCTGGTAGCTCAGCTGGTAAAGAATCTGCCTGCAATGCAGGAGATCTGGATTCGATCCCTGGGTTGGGAGGATCCCCTGGAGCAGAGAAAGGCTACCCACTCCAGTATTCTGGCCTGGAGAATTCCATGGACTGTATAGTCCATGGGGTCGCAAAGAGTAGGACACAGCTGAGCAACTTTCACTTCACTGGCAGGGAGGTGGAGAAGGAAATGGCAACCCACTCCAGTATTCTTTCCTGGAGAATTCCACGGACAGAGGAGCTTGGTGGGCTACAGTCCATGGGGCCGCAAAGAGTCGGACATGACTGATTGACTATTGTAGCGGAGGGGGGTTGGCAAACAAAAGAAGCTGGCCAGAAACCAGCCTGGCTCCACCTAAAATGGGTCCAGACACCTGCTGCTTTGTATGATTCCAGCCTCACCTAATGACTGATGACAGACCACCAGACACCTGTGAGTCCACCTTGAGACTGGAGACACTAAGAATGCCCATCAGAGGATCAAGGAGCCCTGTACCGCCCCTTCCCTACCTGGGTTAGCTGAGCCCTCTGTCCTCCTGCTGATGGAACCAAGGATGCATTCCCTTTCTTCTTTATTCTGGGCTGACTCGTGTGTCGACTTCCATGGGGTCTCCTCCATGGGACCCTGTCCTTCCCTAGCCTGCCTGGGGGGTAAGTCTGCCCAGGTCCCCCAACATAATCACACTCAGCCATCCCCACTAAAAGTTGCAATGCCTCTCAGTAAACAGGCAGCACAAACAACACGTTGAATTTACAAATATTTTTAAGAGGGCAAATGTCTTCCAATCATGTACCCTGAGTCTCCCGTTTCTGAGATGTCCCCTGAATCTCTGGGGCTCTCAATGTTCCTGGCTCACTTGGCAAAGTGGAGCTCAGCAAGCTTTCCAACCTCTCAGGACCCTGCAGTTCTCTGGGCCACGCAAGACCTCTATTATCCATCAGTGATGCAGCTGATCCCAGCACACGGCAAAGAGGCGGCCAAGACAGAACCGTGTATGTGAACCAGGGGCCACTGGGGACCCCGGTTTCAAGCAGATCATTTGAGTTTCAGTGACTTCCCCATTCTGAGCCTCTACCCCACACAGGAATGCGTCCTTGGGGTATAGCCTCTTCCTGCCCATCGTTGAGCATTTTCATAGTTTGGATGGCTGGAATCAAAACTCTCCCCAAAGGCAGCATATGGCTCCATATCTCCCAGTTCCACACAATTTACTTGGGATGAAACCTGATGCTCCAAACCCATACTGTGCTATTTTCCTTCTTTCACCTCACAGGGAGTTTGTTCAGCAAGAAACGACTCTTTGGGGTACATTCCTATCTCCCCCCACCCTTCTGACTCTGGAGTGTGGGTCTCTATAACTCCCAGAGGGAGGGGCTTTCCTTTCAAATCCAAGGGCTGCCAGTGGAAGACAGCACTCACTGGAGATGCCTGCCAGATTGCCAACCCCTTTCTTAAGCACAGGACAGCTGTCAGCTACAAACTGGCACTCACCACCTCGTCATGGACACCTGCCATCCACCTCTACGAGGACTAGATCGGGTGCTGCTGCAGCTGCTGACCTTTGACATCCCCTGGAAGGAGTTCATGGTCGAGATCAGAAAGGCTTGTAGAAAAACCGGCAGGACAGGTCTTTGGATAGTTAGATATTTTCAAGAACCAATTTTATGAGCCCAATCATGTATCGCCTCATATTTAGAAAGGCACTAAAACCCTTCATGGTGACAGCTGCTCCTNCTCTACGAGGACTAGATCGGGTGCTGCTGCAGCTGCTGACCTTTGACATCCCCTGGAAGGAGTTCATGGTCGAGATCAGAAAGGCTTGTAGAAAAACCAGCAGGACAGGTCTTTGGATAGTTAGATATTTTCAAGAACCAATTTTATGAGCCCAATCATGTATCGCCTCGTATTTAGAAAGGCACTAAAACCCTTCATGGTGACAGCTGCTCCTCATGACTAGCAGAAAGCTTCATGAGACCAGCAGAAACCTCCTGGGAAAACATGTGCTTGATTGCATGTACTCCCACCAAAACCACACATATACTGACCTTCCCCTCCTACCTCTTTGGAGCATCTCAGATACTCCTCTTTGGAGTATCTCAGAGCTATCTGAAGTGCTATCTCTTGGGCTTCAGTCCTCGTTGTTCCCTGAATAAAACTTAACTCGCAACTCTCAAGTTGAACACTTTTTTTAAGTCGACATGGTCCAAAGGGAATGGCACTCAGAGTCATCAAACTCTTCAACCACTGACTCACTTGACAAATATTTATGAAGTGTTGACTGTGTGGCCTGGTACTGCCCTGAGAGTAAGGAGTACATCCGTCCCAACCTTCCCGCCTTCATAGAACGTGCACTTAAGTTCCCTTATGTCCTTCAGCTGCGTGACCTCGACCAGGCCATTTGATCCCTCTGAGCCTGATTCGTCTTCCGGTACAGAAGACTAGTGATATGCGCTTTCTGAAATAACACACGGGACCATCCATGAGACAGGGCTGGGCGCATTCTGAACATTCAGAAGCCATTAGCTGACACGGAGAGATTTTCCATTTGACGTGGAATTCCTGGGAACACCATCAAGTTGATGAGAATAGCCTTAGGGCCCAATTGGTCGCAAACTGGGGGGCTTGGGATCCAGCCTGTAGACATTTCAAGCGTAAAAATTCACAGACTATGGCAGAAAAGCAAATATAAACCTCTTTATGGGGTTCCCTGCTTAATTTATTTCCAACTTGGTTTTAAGTGATATTTCTTGCTGATGTATATGAAATGGAGAAATGTCTAAGTAGCGTTAAAATTCCCGGTGAACGCTCCAGATTCAGAAACCAGCTCCCGTGGGTGCTTCTGAGAAAGTCGGTGGTGCACTACTGCCCCCAAGTGTAGCGAGCCCGGCTAGCAAGGGCCTGAGGACTGAGCAGATCATAGGATGGGGCTTTTTTGTGTGTTCTCTCTCTCTCTCTCTTTTTTTTTTTTAAAGCAGGAACACTTAAGAAGGAGAAAATGGACTCTCAAAAATCCTCTTTATCCGAGATCAAATAGAATAAAACCCAATTAAGTCAGTGCAGCTGTCGGCTGTTTAACCAACTCCACCAGCACATCCTCCTCCTCCCCGCCTGGCTCTCCTTCTCCCCCTGATGTGTATTGGACACCAGGTTCCATTTACAGGGAATGGATCCATTAACCGCAGGGACAGACACAATTCTCCTAACAGTGTGTACAGCTCACACGTGCCCCAAGTGGCAAGCTTTGAGGCCTGGGATGGGGAGACCTCCAGGAGTCACGGGCTCTGCCCGGAAGAGTCTCTGAGTTCTTTCCCCACAAAGCATCTTGAAGCATCCCTGCCTGTCTCAAGCCAGCGCCAAGGGTCCTTTTTTAAATTAAGTTTTACTGGAGTATAATTGTTTTACAGTGTTGCATTAGTTTCAACAGTACAGAAAGTGAAAGTGAATCAGCAGTGTGTGTGTGTGTGTGTGTGTGTGTGTGTGTGTGTGTACTAACCTTTCCCTCCTTTGGGAGCAGTTTGGAAACTTTGGAGCAGTTTCTCAGAGCTATCTGAGGTGTTGTTTCCTGAGCTGCAGTCTTCATTTTGCCCTAAATAAAACTTAACTCACAGCCCTCACATTGTGCATTTTTTCAGTCAACAAAGTCCAAAAAGAACTGCACTCAGAGTCAACACTCTTCAGCCATCAACTCACATTACAAATATTTATTGTGCCGACTTTGTGGCCCAGCAGACAGGAGGATAGGGCTTTTGTGTTTGTGTGTGTCTGTGTGTGTGCCTGTGTGTGTGTCTGTGTGTGTGTCTGTGTGTGCCTGTGTGTGTGTGTCTGTGTGTGTGTGTCTGTGTGTGTGTCTGTGTGTGTGTTTGCATGTGTGTGTGTGTGTCTGTGTGTCTGTGTGTGTGTGTGCGTCTCTGTGTGTGTCTTTGCATGTGTGTGTGTCTGTGTGTGCATCTGTGTGTGTGTTTGCGTGTGTGTGTGTGTCTGTGTGTGTGCCTGTGTGTGTGTGTGTGTGTCTGTGTGTGTGTGTGTCTGTGTGTGTGTGTCTGTGTGTGCGTCTGTGTGTGTGCCTGTGTGTGTGTTTGCATGTGTGTGTGTCCTTGTGTGTGTGTCTGTGTGTGTGTGTCTCTGTATGTGTGTGTCTGTGTGTGTCTCTGTGTGTGTGTGTGAGTCCCCTCCTTTTTGGATTTCCTTCCTATTTAGGCCATCACAGAGCACTGCGTAGAGTCCCCTGTCCTATACAGTTGTTGTTGTTTAATTGCTAAATTGTGTCCAACTATTGGTGACACATGGACTGCAGCCCACCGGGCTCCTCTGTTCATGGGGTTTCCCAGGCAAGAATACTAGAAACGGGCTGCCATTTTCTTCTCCAGGGGATCTTCCCGACCCAGGGATGGAACCCAAGTCTCCTGCATTGACAGGCAGATTCTTTACCACGGAGTCACCAAGGAGACTCATGCTATACGGTAGGTTCCCGTTCGTTATCTATTTTATACAGGGTATCAACAGTGAATGTATGTCAATCCCAATCTCCCAATTCATCCAAACCCTCCTTCCTCTCTTGGTATTCATACATTTGTTCTCTATGTCTGTCTCTCTATTTCTGTTCTGCAAGTAAGATCACCTATATCATTTTTCTAGGTTGCACATATATGTTATTATACTATATTTTTTTTTCTCTTTCTGACTTACTTCACTCTGTATGACAGCCTCGAAGTTCATCCATGTTTCTACAAATGACCTAATTTCGTTCCTTTTTATGACTGAGTAATATTCCATTTTATATATGTACCACATTTTCTTTATCCATTCCTTTATCGATGGACATTTAGGTTGCTTCCATGTTCTGGCTATTGTATATAGGGTTGCAGTGAATACTGGGGTGCACATGTCTTTTGGAATTATGGTTTTCTCTGGGCATATGCCCAGTATTAGGATTGCTTTCATACAGTAGTTCTCACCATGGGACTTTGTGCAGTTTCGATCAAAAAACATCTACTGAACAGTGGCTCATAACCCTGCTGGGAGCATATAGTCTAGAGGGAGAAACTCACAGAGGGGCAGACTGACACCAGACCTGGGGGACTGCACACGAGGAAGCATGGGCACTGCAGGGCCCGGAAGAGAGGAGCTAAATCCAACAGGAAGCAAGAAATACCTCCAGGAAGAAAGGCAGCCAGGTCAGTCTTTAAAGAGGAAGTCCGTTACCCCACAAAGCAGCAGGTATATGGGAGCCGTGGGCAGAACCTTTGACAGAGTGTCAAAGTGTGAAGGGCACAGTGCTTTGGGGGAACAGAGGGCAGCTCAGCACGACCGGAGCACAGGGGAGGTTTCAGCAAATGGGAAAGTTACCGAGGTGGCCGTGGAGGCCGCCACAAGCCAGGCTGAAGGATGGAGCACACGGCGTTACAGAGGAGAGCAGGGAAGTCTGACTTTCCCCAGGGCGACACGGGGCAGGTCAGCTGGAGGAAGGAGGTTCAGAGCAGAAGCCACCTGCTGGAATCCTGGCCCAACAGTCAAAGCCAAGAAGACCAAGTTGAAATTCTAGATCAGAAGACACGACTGGAGAATTATTACAAAGAAAAGCATTAGGTCCCAGGGTTTGTATAGCCAACCCCATCCTCTTCCCTAATATCCTCTCATGGGACTGGAACAAAGAACTAACTCTTTCATTCAGCCCTTGTCTGCTTCCCAGCTATCGTAAAAGTTGGCCCTGCTGCCATCACACTGTACTTCTCAACTCCAAGGCCAAGTGACCAAGCCTTCTGTCTCACCTCTGGCTAATTTGCCTTCTGTCTGCCTCTGACCGCTTGCATCCTGCCAGAGATGGAAGTGACAAGTCTTCTTGGGGTGGGGGGAGGATTTAATCAGCTCAAGGTCTGCTGGATGGCTCCAAGGTGGGAATTGCGAGTTTCCCCAGCGTGACAGGTGTCACTTAGGGTGGCTCAGGCGGTAAAGAATCTGCCTATGA